ATATATGTATCGGTGTGTGTGTTCAATTTATATGCTTATATATTCAGTAATACATAAACATAAACGCACACGCATGGACATATTTACATAAATATATGCAAACACAAACACCCATACATAATATAAATATGTGTGTGTGTGTGTACATACATACATATATATACAAATGATATATATATATATATATATATATATATATATATATATATATATATATATATATATATATATAAACATGTGTATTCTTTCTTACTTCATCCATAGATTTGTGTACAAATGGGTTTTTGCGAACATCATGTAAATATATGATTTATTTCTTTTTATTCTCTCTATCGTAATGTCACCATCACGTTCTGATATATGACGCACACACACATATATATATGTGTGTTTGTGTGTGTAGATGTTTATACATACTATATGGATTTGGGCTTATCTATAGTGTGTGTATGTATGTATGTATGTGTCGCGGTCCGCTAAGTTGTAGATGTCAGCCTCCAGTAGAATTAAGCTACGGAATTCTACGGGCTGCCCAGCCTTGTTTCACTTGTCTCCTTATGACCTGATATTTGTCCGCAACTTTGGCAGGGTTGCGGTCTGACACTGGTCAAGGCAACTGACCAGAAAGGGAAGCTATGAGTCTCTTATGGTACGACAGGCTTTTCATGTACAATGCAATCAGTATGAATGTATGTAGATTTTATCATCAAAGTCTCTAGCCCACTCTTTCATAATTCGATCACGTTTGCTATGTCTTTGAAGCATCGAAAAGAATTCATATGCGTGCATGTGTATGTGTATATATGTATATTATTATATGTGTATTAGCATTCGGATGTCTGTGAATGCGTGTATGTGCGCGAGTGTGCATGGGTGCGTGTTATGATTACTTATGTGTGTATGTGTTCATCTTGTGAGTGCGTGTGCATGTAGGTGTATGTGTGCTTGCATGTATATATGTGTATGTAGTTACGTAAAGAAAACGTCTGTTCAAATGAGTATTGTTAGAAATTACTTGAACATAGAGAATAAGCATCACCCTTCCTTTAAAATCATTTCATTTATGATTAGTGTAGAACACTTAGTTTGGGCCATTACTCCTGAAATTGATGTTCCTTTTAGTTCTGGGTCCTCTTTCTCTTTCACTTCCGTTATTAAAAGCAAACTCAAAATGATAAAGTAAAATCGGAAAATAAATAAAATGCTAAGTTCAGGTTTTGCTTGGAGAGTGGTAGTGTACATAATTAGTCTGGCTGATTATTCATTTGTGCATTCAGATTGCAATTCTGATCACGATAGATGAATGTATTTACATGTGGATGTATTTCTGTGAATGTATAAGTATACTTACATTCACACACATACAAAAACACTCATGCGGATGGATAGTACTGACCAAAGAATACAAAGTTGCTAGTTTTTATTTGGCTCCGTAATCTCACAATAATTTCATCACCTTAAAAGATTAAGCATTCTTCATATCCTGGATGGACTTGTTAATCTGCACCTTCACGTTGGAAGCCATGGTTTTCTCCAGGATCTCTCGCAAAGCCTTCCTGAAGCCGGCGCTGTGAACGTCCTTCATATTGTTGCCGTCCAAGTTGCTTGCACTTTCAAGCAGGTCGTGACCCGATCTTGCGGTGTAGCTGGCGATGTTCTGAGGCACAAGGTTGTCCAAGTTGATCTGGATATCTGCGAAACTTGTCCACACGCTCTACAACTGACCAGAAACAGTCTGGGCTGGAGCTTCTCCAACACCGGCAAAGGTTACCGTGTAGTCGGCGTTGGCACGAGCGTTTTCCACGACAACCGAACCGGAGAGCACACTCTGTAAAAATACATAATATAGGCCACTAATAATCAGATGATATACTTAGCTTTAAGAAATAGAATATTCTTATCATGAATTTCCTTTCAAACTCTGAAGTTGATGAGTTAAAAAAGTTAATGTCTTTAAGCTTATTTCATACATCTTTCTTTTCATTTGACATTCATACCTGGTCGGCGTTGAAGGAAGCGGACTTGGAGCGGCGCAGGGAGCAGAGTCCAGTCACGTTGGCCTTAGTGATGCTGAAGTTCTCGGAACTGCTTCCGTCAGAGTTGACTTGGAAGGGCAGGTTTGACTCTCCGTTCTGCACATTTTTGGATCCACACCATCCTAGTGCTCTGTTAAAGGACAACAGTTAGGAAGAAGACTCACGAAATCAATATACAATATGATAAGGAATGATAACACTGAAACAAAAATAACACCAAAAGGTCGCTATCAATAAACTATTACTCCATGTATGCGATAGCTCCTTCGAGCACTGCGTCGAGTATCTGGTTGGGCGTGGTAGGGTTGGCGACGGCGCGAGGCAAGATGGGCTGAGAGTCTCCGCCGTCGGCAGGGAAGAGCCCAAGCTGGTCGTCCCATTGGTTGGGTCGTGCCACGCACACGGCCAAAGTCACTGCCAGGCTTACGATCCTCAACATTTTTACGTCTGCACAAATAGGATTTCAATAGAAAGAATAAAAAAACAAATAAACAGAATTAAGAGTACAATTTTTATCATGATGATTAGGGATGTATATGTACGCATATACAATATTCATTTGTACAACTGTTAATTCATTTGTCTATAAATCAAAGTATAAAAACGAGTGCGCACACTCGCAATGCACGAGGGGACTCACCTGATGGTACCGTCGACTGTCCCTTGAGCTCTCTTACCATCCAATATATATCTGATATTTGCTGAGACTGTAGTTTCTGAAATGACATTATGAAGGCCAAATTCTTTCGAAAAGAAAATCTAGTGTGAAAGTGAAGAAGAAATATGAAAGGCTTTTTCAATATTTACAGCTATGAATACATCGCGAATGACGTAATACGAATGCACGTTAATTAAAGTAGATATTTTCCCAAAGCAAATCAGAGAAATGGATACATACATATGTATGTACGGATATGTATGCATGTATATATACACACATATATTTCAGTCCGTTTATTCATGGCTGTATCTATATGTATGTTAATAAATAAAAATAAATGGAGTTTATGTGTTTATACACATACTTATATCCATGTACATATATATATCCATATATACTGTACACATACACACACATACATATATACATATGTTTGTATGTATGTGTATAAATATAATATATATACACATACATGGGAAAGTAGAGATCATTCGGACAGTCGGGTGTTCAGAATAATGCTCAAACTGTTTTTTTTTTTTTTATGTAAGCGAGTTTATGTAATTTTTCTAGCCACCGCTTGCTATATTTTAGATTTACATAAACTCTGAGCAAATAAGTATGGCAAATAGCGAAGACAACACTGTCTTGTCGATTTGGTATTAGATTAAGAGAGTATTCCCAAACCAACAAAACCAATTATCTAAACTTCTTGCACGAGAGACGCCATTAATTGCTGTTCTACATATGGGTTGATGTTTGAAGAGAAAGTTGATTCGTCAGTGCCAAAAAATCATAATCGTATGAAATTATGATATTACTGCTCAAAACCATTTATGATTTAATAAAACCTCTTCATTATGGATTAACACACACGCCTAGTAATTAAAGGTATTGTTTTCTTGTTTCACGATCTCCCCCCCCCTCTCTCTCTCTCCTCTCTCTCTTCTCTCCCCCTCCTATCTTTTACTTCTATTCTATTTCTTTCGCTTAATCTATACGCCACTCTTCCCCTCACCTCTCTTTATCTTCTCCCCCCCCCCCCTCTCTCTCTTTCACCTTCCGCTCTCTCGTTTTTTTCTCTTCTTCCTTCCCCTCCTCCTTTCTTTCCCTTTCTTTCACAAAACACACGAGCGCGCGTGCGCAAAAACGCACACAATCACACATGTCATATTCGGTCAATATTTATCATCGTACTGCAGACTAACTTGACCTACTGAATATTGTGTTTACACTTTAGTAATACATGTTTTTCGTACATATGTACACACACACACCACACGAACACAAACTCAGACACGCACACATACGCACACACACACGTGTGTGTTTCTGGGTATGCATGTGTGTATATGTATGCATAAGGATACGTACATACATACATGCAAATATGTAATATATATGTATAAACATATATCTGTATATATACACATATATAGGTATATATATAAAGAGATAGGGACACATATAAGTATATATATACCAATATATACATATATGTATCTATATATATATACAACCATATATATGTACATTTATACATATGTTCTTATATATATGTGTGTGTGTGTGTATTTCCGTGTGTATGTATATATATGTATGCAATAAGGATACGCACCTACATGCATGCGTAATATATATGATATATATATATGTATGTGTGTTTGTGTTTGTGTATGTATGTATTTATGTATCTATATATGTTTATAATATATATACATATATACTGTATATGTTCATATATCTGTATATATCTGTATATTTACAAACACAATCATATATATGTAAGTATATAGATATTCATATCTACATACATACATTCATACATATGTATATCCACACACAAGGGTATAAACACATATATATATATATATATATATATATATATATATATATATATATATATATATATATATATATATATATATATATATGAATACAAACATTCCTATTTAATAATGCTCAGAAAACGTAAATGAAATTGAAATCTATGCAGAAAAACGTTTATGCTTTAAATATATTTCCTTTGGAGGTGAGTGCTGACACGTCCTCTATTTGCTATCTTCTAAATTTACATATGATCAAATAAAAAGAAATATATAGATACGAAATGAACGCAAAATAAATTATGTTCTAATACGATATTTCATTTGAAGCAGAATCTCTTTTAGTCAAATATATATCATCAGCTGACATTGAAGATTTTTTGCCGATTGACAAATTTTGAATGGAAAACATAGCGTAAAAATGTTTCACAGGTGGGCTTTAGTAGAACAAGAGTTCTTCCTTTCCAAAGGTCGTACGGCATTCTGAGGGATATATAAACTTCGCGGACGATTTCACATCACCAGTGGTAGCTATCCTCGGTGAGTAACGATTCTCATACCTCTTACCTGTCTAATAATCCGTCTAATGTGCTATGGCATAATTCATGCAACACATTTTTATGTAGCATAAATGTGTCCTCTTATAATGGATTTTTTTTTTTTCGCCCGGTACCTGTAATAATCCCCTTCTTTATTTCATCTCTTTATTTCACCCTGGAAACCCCAAAGCGGACTGTTTCTCATTATGATTTCTGTTTAGGTTCGGGGTTTCGGAAATGGATGTATTTCAAGATCTGTCACTTTCATACCACTTAACTAGTCATATTTCCTTCTAGATCACACCATGTTCACTTGGCTGATGCTCTCCTGCCTCTTAGGCTTCTCCCTGGCTGAGGTTCAGGTATGAACACGCTGTTGATATGCAAGTTTAAGCAAGAAATTACCTTTTATATCACATATACAACTGTTTAGTGTATCTCTCATGTGAAGCATACTTACTATTACAAAAGATGACCGTTTTTCTTGGTAGGATTACCAAATATGTTACAAGGGAAACAGCGCCGCTGAAAACAGCTGCATGAAAGTGGATGTAGACCGCCTTGCCATGAAAATTCACTTCCACATGCCTGAATCCGACGACTTCGATGACGTGGAAACTCTGGAGGATTATAGTGTGGTAAGTAATACTTGTAAGGTCATCACTGGATAACATGATGAACATGTTATTGTTTTGTTGAACTGATAATGCATGAGCAATTCTTCAATTTGTTTTAACTGTATGAATTCAGTATCTAATGACCTTGGAAAATAACCATAAATATCTCAATATCTTCGCAGGGTCTAGCAGCATCTCGAGTTGTGTCCCAGGAAGCGTGTTATGTGAGGCGACTAGTTAAATCTTTCGAGCAACAAGTAGCCTTCATCAAAGGCCATCAGGATGATGGCATGAGGGTTGAGTCTGATGTCAGAGTTTCCGCTATTTCCCTCGACAATCCTGAGGAGGAGATCGGCTCTTGCCAACTTCTGTGGCGATCTTCCCGTTTACAAACTGGTCACTGAAGAACAGAATGACAGTGTTCAAGACCGTCGTCAAGTGAGCGTCACCTTCACCCGCTGCGTCCTGCTGTGTTTCATTCCCACGTGCTTCACCACCACGCTCACGCTCCCCACTGGCTCCACCATCACTTTTGGCTGGCTCTTCTTTGGCTAAAGTGGCTGTTTAAGGAATATCGTTCACCTAATATAGGCAAACAGAAGTCTCTTTTACCTGTCTCGATGATGTACACTCAGTTTTGATTAAAGATTATTGCATTTCAACGTGTATTTAATGTGCATCTTATACAGAAAAGTTGGCATTCGTGTAAATAGACATACAAGCGCACGCTCGTGTCTACATGTTGAATAATTACTGCACAATGAACTAATAGCGAACGTGTTTTTTTGTTATACTGGTTTGTTTATTTTTATTTGTCATTTTCGGCATTACCTCCAATACACAGTATATCCTTTACAATTATATGCACATATACAAACACATATACATATCCTCATGCACACAGACATAGGGATCAAAATTCACCTCAGAGTGAACAGAAGGCAGCTCACATACCGACAAAACAATATAATTGAAAAAAACAAGAAATATGTAACGGTTATGATTGCAGGTCCCCTCTCCTGCAATCTGATTGGCCACACCGTGTGCCCCCCCCCCCCCCGCTCATGGTCATTGACTCGTCGTACTGTCAATCACTGTGTAAAGTTCTTTATCGACGCTCCACATTAAGACGGAAGCAAAGCAAAGTATATATTGTTGCTGTCCGAAATTTCATTGTGATGATTGTGCTTAGTCTTATCAAAACTCATAATTGCACAGAACACTGAGATTTTTATTCTATTTCTAACTCTTTTTTATATTTTTATTATATATATATATAATTTATTTTGCTATTATTATAGAATAGTGTCGTTACATTGCAAGAATTGATGTGATGATTATTACACAAAACACTGCTATGTTCACTGCACAGAGCTAGAAGCACCAACTCCTAACTCCTGTTCTGTGTGTTAGCCTATCACTTGGTAAAGTACACCCAGCAGATTTAATGTGGCCAGGAAAACAAGATGAAAACATAAACAATGAGTAACTGTACGACATAAATATTGAAGTGGCAGCCTTTTTGTTACTTTTCGCCCCCCCCCCCAGCAGATTTATTGTTGTTACACCCTAGTTCATGAGAAAATTCTCTGGACCCGCCCCTGCACCCAAAAATTGCTCAAATAAATCTGGAGGGGGGGAAGGGGTATGTGAGTGTTGATAAGTAGTTCTGTATGTATATTTATTCACTCGTCTATATATGTATCGGTGTGTGTTCTATTTATATGCTTATATATTCAGTAATACTTAAACATAAACACACACGCATGGACATATTTACATAAATATATGCAAACACAAACACCCATACATAATATAAATATGTATGTGTGTGTGTGTAGATGCAAACATATATATACAAATACATACATATATATATAAGCATGTATATTATTTCTTATTTCATCCACAGATTTGTGTACAAATGGATTGTTTTGCGATCATGTAAATATATGATTTATTTCTTTTTATTCTCTCTATCGTAATGTCAACATCACGTTCTGAAATATGACGCACACATATATATGTGTGTGTTTGTGTGTGTAGATGTTTATACATACTATATGGATTTGGGCTTATCTATAGTGTGTGTGTGTATGTATGTGCCGCGGTCCGCTAAGATGTAGATGTCAGCCTCCAGTAGAATTAAGCTACGGAATTCTATGGGCTATCCAGCCTTGTTTCACTTGTCTCCTTATGACCTGATATTTGTTTGCACCTTTGGTAGGGTTGCGATCCGACAATGGTCAAGGCAAGTGACCAGAAAGGGAAGCTTTGTCTTTTATGGTACGACAGGCTTTTCATGTACAATACCATCAGTATGAATGTATGTAGATTTTATCATCAAATTCTCTACCCCATTCTTTCATAATTCGATCACATTTTGCTGTCTTTGAAGCATCGGTAAGAGTTCATATGCGTGCATGTGTATGTGTATATGTGTATATTAGTATATGTGTATTAGCGTTCGGATGTCTGTGAATGCGTGTATGTGCGCGAGTGTGCATGGATGCGTGTTATGACTGCAAATGTGTGTATATGTTCATCTTGTGAGTGCGTGTGCATGTATGTGTATGTGTGCTTGATTGTAAACATGTGCATGTATGTGTGCATTGAACGAGGGTAACTATGTTAGGGATTGTTCGCATGAGTGTGAGAGAGCACGAATGTCGTTTTCCTTGAAAGCATACGAGTGTTCACTTTGTGTTCGGATGTGTGTGCATGCGTGTATTTTCAAGTGTGTATGTCTGCGTGTTATGATGATGTGTGCGTGAGTGTATCAATTTGTATCAATTACTCAAATAAAGTAAAATCGGAAAATAAAAGGCTAAGTTCAGGTTTTGCCTGGAGAGTGGTAGTGTACATAAATACAAACCAATGTAATTTCCTTTAACTCTTCGTATCAGATCGCAAGACACTCATGTACGTTACAAAGTTCAGTACTGAAATAAGAAAAAGAAAATGAAGGCGGCAGTGTGTTGTCCTGGCCAGTCTATTCTCTTTTTCTTTGGAACTGTTTATGCTGAATTTCTAGACAGTGAAAATATTTAATTGTCTTCCTTCTAAGGTGATTCCGGAGTCCAGCTGCAGTCATGAGCAGGCGATTCGTCTCCCTGTGCGATGCTGTTGCTTGTCTCGTTTTTTAATGTTAAGCTGTGATTATTCATTTGTGCATTCAGATTGCAACTCTGGTCACAATAGATGAATGTATTTACATGTGGTGGATGTGTTTTCTGTGAATGTATAAGTTACATTCACACACATACAAAAACACACTCATGCGGATGGATAGTACTGACCAAAGAGTACAAAGTTGCTAGTTTTTATTTGGCTCAGTAATCTCACAATAATTTCATCACCTTAAAAGATTAAGCATTCTTCATATCCTGGATGGACTTGTTAATCTGCACCTTCACATTGGAAGCCATGGTTTTCTCCAGGATCTCTCGCAAAGCCTTCCTGAAGCCGGCGCTGTGAACGTCCTTCATATTGTTGCCGTCCAAGTTGCTTGCACTTTCAAGCAGGTCGTGACCGATCTTGCGGTGTAGCTGGCGATGTTCTGAGGCACAAGGTTGTCCAAGTTGATCTGGATATCTGCGAACAGCTTGTCCACACGCTCTACAACCTGACCAGAAACAGTCTGGGGCTGGAGCTTCTCCAACACCGGCAAAGGTTACCGTGTAGTCCGTTGGCACGAGCGTTTTCCACGACAACCGAACCGGAGAGCACACTCTGTAAAAAATACATAATATAGGCCATAATAATCAGATGATATATACTTAGCTTTAAGAAATAGAATATTCTTATCATGAATTTCCTTTCAGAACTCTGAAGTTGATGAGTTAAAAAAGTTAATGCCTTTAAGCTTATTTCATACATTTTTCTTTTCATTTGACATTCATACTGGTCGGCGTTGAAGGAAGCGGACTTTGAGCGGCGCAGGGCAGAGTCCAGTCACGTTGGCCTTAGTGATGCTAAAGTTCTCGGAACTGCTTCCGTCAGAGTGTGTTCTTGGAAGGGCAGGTC